GACATGAAGCCTGGAATCAACCGCTAGCGTCAGCATGCAAGCACAAGGACTTTTTACTGCTATGATTTTCTTCCTAGGCAGAAAGGAAAGGCAGCCTACGAATGGTTCTTTCTATCGCGTACTTGCAAACGGAGTGTTAGGCGTTTGCAATGGTCAAATCGAGGACTTGGTAACAAGCGAGAAGGCTGGCAACACACGTGATAGGCTGACCGAAATTCCCCTGCACGAAATACAATATCGACTAACCACGTTTGCACTTTTTTAATGTAGCATAAGTTTGAAACTAAAGGGAGCACGAAAACATTATAATTTGACCTGAAAGAGAAAAATAGTTGTCACAAGGTAATGCGACAACTTTAAAAGCCGGAAATTTCGAAAAAATATTGCACATTGCGGTGATTTATGCTGCATGCACCGTTAGGTTGAAGGTACGCAATATTTCATTGACAAATACAGGGGAAAAGGAATGAACAATTCTGGCTTATTTGCGAGCATTTGAGAATCATGTTTAAGCAACAGACCAACGGGAAAATGTTCTATCGTCTGGTTACGAACCCGCACTCTATTGACAGTTAATAGAGCTAATCAAGGCTGTTTGTAACGGTTTCACTAGTTGCCCTGAGACTAGAGCCCGCATAGGCGGTGGCGCAACGGGAAGTAGCAGTCGACGAGTTCACAAAAAGTAAAAGGGGGACCATACGGGGTTTATTAGAGCCGGGTTTGGAATTACCTATGAAATGACAAGCCCTTAACCTTGACACCGAGGCAGATGCATCGGCATAATTTTAATCAAGATGATAAATCTCGGTTACCAGACCGCAAAATGTGTGATGCATACATCCGGAGGCTTTGCAGGATCGACATATTTCGTAAAACCACCCATAAAAGCGGGAAGCTTAGTTTTGGTCTCATGACAAATCCATATCCTTAACCCTAACAGAGAAATTAAAAGTAGTTTTTACGATGAACCCAATAAATGCAACCCACGCGTTAGAGGTTGTTCTATGGTAATTCGCAGCTAGTCATATTTAAATCCTATCGTAGAAATATGTGAAGTTTGAAGAGAGATTTACTACTATCCAAATCAAACAACAAAGGTATACAGCAGTCAGGCAATTGACTTCCGATAAACGTATTGTTATTCGCCTTTGAAGATGAAACGACTCAGGATGGCAGACCAAGGTACACGAAATCGCGATAGGTAAACAATAGAAGTTTGTCCTAAAGAGCTGCACATGACACTCGACTAAACTATTTTTCCACATGTTTCAGGCCATTTATAACCAAACGTTATACGTCAAAACTACGATAAAACGGTGACCGTATTCCGTACATATTTTTGCAAAAATTACGAACCATTGTTATGAAGTCGTCATGCAAATAAGTATTATTTAAAAAAGACGATTTCACCATCTATTGAGAAAACTTGCAACTCTACTGAGAAGAGATTTCCAACTTACACAATTAAAACGGTTCCCAAAAATCTTATTGTAGAATAATAATTAAAGCAATACCGTTATATTGAAAGATGCGCTGCGAAGTGATAAAATATTTCAAGCAACATGTTTTTACAAAATGTAAAAAGAGAACCTTAGAATAAGCTCACACCAGATATACTAACTTCAGAAAACCATGAATACCAATGAGCGTGACAAAGACGACTAAGCGGATTTAGGTCAAACAGGGAGCTCGCACTTAACAAACTACATTCGGCTTCATGAACGGTGGGAAATACTCAAACTTCTACGACGTGAATATGCTACCAGTCGATGCGTCATTCATGCTCACAAACGTGAATGTGAATAAAACGGTTAGCTACATGTGCGAATCCATTTAAAAAGGCCATATTGAATCAAACATGTCAACCGACAGACCTAGCGAGTAACTACTCTGATATATGTCGAAAGTATACTTTACTGGAGATGGACCACTGTCCAGTCGGATAAATGGATTAGCCAGGGACTCGATCGTTGGCCCACATATGGCAAAGCTCGTCGTGGAAAAGATAAAGAACTTTGAACAAATGTCAGAAAATATGGCATGTTAAAAAAATTATTATTTTCGGGGAGTCAACTGTTTTGTGGGAAGGCGTAATTCTCAAATGGTTGTTAAAGCTTTTCGTAGAAAAAGGATGATTTTTTGCATCCCAGAAGTCTGTTTTTTATTTATGCTCTTGACCGATTTATCTCAACAACTAAGACTGTAAAAATCATCAGTTGAAATCCAGTATAACGGAGCCAGCTTGCTCACTAAAATATAATGAATGTAATAATTTCACTCTTGAGGCATTTCCTTTAAAAACACAAACTTCCTCTACTAAGTTTCCATTCGGAAGCCAGCAAATCAAAAATATCTGCGAGCCTGAATTCTTTTTAAATCTTAATTCGGTTACATCCGTATCTGAGTACCCCGTTCTACTGGTAGCGTGGGAGGATAATTATTCGTGTGTCCTATCCCAAACCCTAACCTTAAAAATAAGCCACC